ATTTAAAATGGGCCATGATTGGAAACGAAAAGATACCTGAAATCCGCAGGAAAGGGGAAACCTCGAACTAGAGGGGGTTTAGAAAAGTCCAAGGGGGTGGGAAAAGGGAAAAAATTTCAAGTGCAAGGAAGGGTGCGTTGTGAAGAAAGGGTTGCGCATGAAAAAGAAAGAGAAGGAACAAGGGGGGATCAGTGTCCATTTATGGTTTTTTTTTCTGCAATAATTTGAAAATTGCCCCCAAGTGTTTCAGAGTTCAGAGACACTATGGAGACAAAAATTGGAGATGAAGGGGGGGGTTTGAGTAAAGATCAAACTGTAAGGACTGTACCAAGGTAGGAAGGGGGTTAATGGTGGGGGGGAATGGGGAAGTGGGGGAGGGGACGAAAAAGGGCAGAAACCCGGGAGGTGGCAGAAGAGGAAGAAACTTTGGGGGGGGACAGGGGGGGGAAGGCACAGTAGAGGGGGAGAAACCTTCACACTTGTAATAGAGCCGTGAAAGGGGAAAACCCCGGTACAAGACCGGGGGTAAAAAGTGGAGGGGATGAAGGAAGGGGGGGTTAAAGGGATTTTTGGGACCTCTGAAAGTAGGGGATGATTGGGAAGAGGTGTCGACGAGTCTTTTCGATACCAAAGGGTTTTTGAGGGAGAACGAAGAAGTGAGGACAGACTGAGGTTTTAAGTAAGGAGTCTAGCCCAGGAAGCAAAAGAATTAGATACCGGAGTGACTATGGGGCTGGCACCGCAGGGAAAGCGCGGAAGATGTACCTCAGAAGTGGGGGGACCTTTGAAACACGAGAATAAGAAACACGGGAGCCTTTTCCCTGAGGGAACGAATTTCCCGTCATTAAGTAACCTGGTAACGGCGAAGTACAAGGGCGAAACCCCATGACAATTAAAGGGAAGAGGGGGTTTTAACTGCAAGACGTATTAAAATGGTCATGGCACCACAACTGGGCATTTGGCTAAGATCTGCAAAAATTTTTCCCGGGGGGCCAAATCACCAGCAACTTTACCTGTTGCGGGTAGGGAACACCTTCCCCAACTTGTCCGATGTCTGCACATAAACAGAGGATGGGAGTTTTTCCGGGTGTCAAAATTAAAAGGCCACAGCAAGGGTATCGTCTTCGCCCGCGGGGAGGAAGAACATAAGTGTCTACCTTGAGAATTGGGAGATCTTGGAATTCCAGCTGTTCAAGAATGTCAGTGCCACATGTCTGGAAATTCTGTTGGACTATGGTATGGGGCGGAATAACAGTACCACTACAAGAATTGAGGGAATGATGTTTTTCGATAGTGATAGGAATAGTATCAATATGTGAAAGAAGAGAAATATCATGAGCTTGGGTAGAATTCTGGACTGTGATGATGCGCGTACCACTCTTAAGAGCATGAAAGGAAATATCTCTACCAACGTGGTGTAGAAGCGCTTTGCCAATACTATGGTCGGAAAGATAGGCAGTAGAAGAAGTCAGTCTTAATGTAAAGAATTTAGTCCATTGTGTGGTCCAAAACTGAGTGTGGAGAGGGAGTGCATGATGTGTCGGTCTTTTCCGAGTAAAATGGGAAGGTAACCAAGTAACATCAGGAGATTGTCGTTGACGTTTAGAAGTGGGACCAGAGTCGGTCCGACGTGGGACGGGCTGGCGATTCAAAAATCGCCGCACCGTAGAGGGAGAAGCCGGAAGCATAGTCAAAGGAGAGCAGAGGTCAGACAAATCGAAGGAGTCAGTCGAAACCCCGGCACCTGAAGCGGGTGACGAAACAGCACCAGCAAGAGGTACAGGGGCCTTAGGAATGTCCGAAGAGTGGCCAAAAGACGAGGCGAGGTCAGAACGGGGTGCGGTAACAATAAGGGGCCCGGGGGTAGCGGGGTCATGGATCGGGTACTCCATGGTTAGGTTACTTCTTTCTTTTTGTTTTTAAGAAAAAAAAAGAAAGAAGAAAAGAAAATAAAAATAAAAAAAAGAATAAAAAAAAAGGGGGGACCGGGGAGGGATAGTTCTTAGGAGGAATGAAAGGGCCAGAAATCTCCCTCCGAGCCCAAGAGGACCTCAGCACCGCTAGTAGCGCAGATGCAGCATGGAACCCGTGCCATACCCTACCCATCATGCCAGTAAACCAGCAATCTGGGATAGCAACCTCACATCTGCTGAACTACCTCGGTGGACAAAAGAGAGGGCGGCTGGATATCCGCCACAAAGCATACCTCCTTCGGCCACCACTCCTGGAATCCGAAAGGTGGCTTCCAGAGATACACCCGTCGCCTGAAAAACACCCAAAGCCATCCTCCAGGATACTGGAGAGGGATCGAGACATCTCCAGGCGATCCAGATTCCACGGCAAACTACACCACCGCCAAGAACCTCAACGGAATGGGATGGACCCCGGTACCCTTTCCCCTACCTAGGAACTAGCGCGCCTGTGGGAAAAAATCCCAAAGGCCAAAAAGGAAGGGCAAAAGGGAAGGGTGGGGAGGAGGAGGAGGAAAGGAGAAAGGGGAGGATGGGGAGGATGGGATAGGGAAGGGGGGATTGGGGGGTAATTAGGTTCGGTCTGAGGAAGGAGACCGACAGGTCTAATTCCTCAGACCAAGAGCCTCTTCACCACGCCAAGGAGCCCCCCCAAGGAGCCTGCCCAATGGGTTGAGTAATCATTTTACTAATGTCTTAACTCTTATTAAACATTTATTATATCCAGACTTTTTATACAATTTAGTGCCTTTCATTCTCAATGCTATTTTTTTTTTTTTACTTCTTTCAACAAACTGGCCATATCCCACCAAGGCGGGGTGGCCCAAAAAGAAAAACAAAAGTTTCTCTTTTTAATTTTAGTAATGTATACAGCAGAAGGAGTTACTAGCCCCTTGCTCCAGCATTTTAGTCCCCCCTACAACACGCATGGCTTATGGAGGAAGAATTCTGCTCCACTTCCCCATGCAAATAAGAAGAAACAAGACCAAGAACTAGTAAAAAAATAAAAGAAAACCCAGACGGGTGTATATGTATGTTTGTACATATATGTGTAGTGTGTATTACTGTAGTTCTTAATACTCTTGGCCTGTGCATCAGTTGGAATGTAGTTATGTATATAAATGTTTAGGTTTAAATCAGAGTACAAAAGTTTTACATTAAAGCATATTGCTAAATCTAATGAAATCACTATATGCAAATATTTACATAGTACAGAGTACTGTATCTCAATGGGCCACAGCTCCCAGGGGCTGTGAGTAAGGCAAATCTTAAGTAATTGGCAGATTGTATTGCAGCTTAGCTGAGGAGCACCAATACAGGACAGTGTGAGGAAGGACATGTCATATGCCTATCTGGGTATTGTTATGGAACTTTCAAATTTGATGGCACAGAACACTTATATTAAGTACACATTTGTATTTATAAAACACTGAACTTCTGTGATATTACAAAATAAAAGAATAGAGAGTGCGTTAAATAAGGGCCCTACTGACCGAGATACAGTGGACCCCCGGTTTACGATATTATTTTCATTCCGAAGTATGTTCAGGTGCCATTACTGAACGAATTTGTTCCCATAAGGAATATTGTGAATTAGATTAGTCCATTTCAGACCCCCAAACATACACTTAAAAACCCACTTACATAATTGGTCGCTTGGGAGCTGATCGTAAAGCAGGGGTCCACTGTACTATCATGATCATGGCTAATGAACTAAAATTATAGATTTGTTTTCTGCCTAATGACAAATAGTAAGCATAATCACAACCCATTTTCAGATATTCCCTTTTGTTTTGTGCAGTTATGAAAAACTTCTAGAATCATGTGGAGTCACTTCAGTTTACCTTTTATAGGCTATATGATGTAGTCAGCAACCTATTAGTTTCAGGAGTGCAATCAAGCTGTAGGATTTAAAAAAATAGAACCATTTGCTTATTTAGAACTTTTAAAACAGATCCTACTATTAATATTAATCTTCTTCTATCATGGCCAAATATTGCCATTACAGTTTATAAATATAATTAAAATTATGTCCATTAGTAGCAGCTCATACCGTATCTATAATCCCTTTTAAGCCACGATATATTTTGGGGAAAAAGTAAACTCTCAAAGCCAGTTAGCACACAAAATGAGTCACTGAAACTGATTTTAGTTTAGGCAACCCTTTAAGATAAAATTTAAAAGATTGAAACAAAGAACCTATATTTTTAACAGTAATGAACCTGGTCTATACAATCCATCTTCATTTTTTTAGTTAGTTCACACAACCATAAAAATTGAAATTTATTTGTCTTCAAATTATGACATTACCAATACAATAAACCAACTATCAGTCAACTTGAACATCAGAATTCTAAGTTGAAAACAGCTATTTTCTGGACACCATTTTTATAAAACAATCCAAATTTTGCTTTATCATCAAATAAAATGACAAAAATAATTTTGCAACTTGCCAAGAAATCTGGTAAAAGAAGCACAATTAAGAAGGCAACATATCTTGTCACAGAGGATAAAAAAAAAAAAAAAGTATTAGAAGGTATGGTACAATAGACAAGTTGTGACTATGTATTTACATCAGTTGTAATATCTTTGCTGAATGAGCTACACAAGAGGTATTGTTATTATCACAATGAAAACTAAGCACTACAAGAGGTACTGCATTGCTGAAAGCACCTAGATTCTACTCAGAATACCAGTAAGCAGATTTGAGGTGTTGCAATCAGCACTGGAACCTCTTCCTCAACTTTGAAAACACGAGACATCTCAACAATTAAGTTGCATCTTACGATACCCGCCACTACATCTTCAGACTACCTCTCCTCTCTACTGTTATGGGATAAATTTTTGTTTCTATTTAGAATTTGACACGTAATTTAGAATGACAGGTATTACCGATAAGTATGGTAGAAAGAGGAAATCTTACTACAGACAATTACTTGCCCATGTACTAAGCTTTATGAAGCCATGTGGCTTCATTACTTTTATGACTTGATAGAGCCACTGTGGGGTTAAATAATGTGTACTGTGTACCACACAGTATTTGATAAAGCTGACACTTTAGAGTGATACATAGTCAACTGTAATAATGTGCCACACCCACGTGGAAGCATGGCAAAATAAAGAAACTTGCTCTGCCATGCATCACTGTTCAACCCCAGTTCTGTGACAAAGTAATGCTAAATTATTTCTACTTCTGACTGTTCTAAACACTGCCAACCTGCTGACTCTTACTAATGCAAAAATCTTTAGACAATTCTTAAAGTATTAAGAAACTTCAACTAACCTCTTATTTATCAGTTACCTGTAACAAGTAATTTTTCCAACCATGTGAAAAATATTCTTCATACAGGGCTTAAAAAAAAAATTCTAACCAAAAATAGTAACTTCAGCATAATTTGAAATGAAATTTTTAATTTTTAAAACCAGTTGTGGAAATCCTTTGATTGTATACCTATGGGTTGCTGATTGTCCCTACATCCATAAAACATAAACGCACGCTCTGCCAATGGAGAAAATAGTCGTGCTTCACAGTGGTTAGCCTCTGTGCTGGAGCCTCATCGGCTGCGGCTGAAAAATTAAGAAGTCAAATTCTCATACAATAAATTTTAAACTGTTAACTGAATTGTTTCACCCAGTCATCTATCAAACTATTCAAGATCCAAGCACAATGCATACTCAAACTCAACTTTTCAAACAAATCTGTACAAGAATAATCATACTTGTACAAACAACCCCACATGGAGATAATAGAACTGTAGTTTGGCACTGACCAGCACTGATTACACTCCTGTGTTTGGATACTTTTATTAGAAACTTGCTGCATGTGTAGCACACTATTAGTATAGGATTTATAATACAGTGGTCTCTTGAGTTGTGATCATTTTGAGTTACGATTTACCCTCAAAGGAATTTAGTTTTGAGGCGCGATGAAATATTTGAAATAAGATGTGTACAGTGATCAGAGCACATGGGTGGCCCTTGGCCACCCAGCAATACGGTAGCTTGCCTCTTGGGGCAGCGTGTGAACCAATAGAATAGAAGCACCAGTGGGGGTAGCTCAACAGCCAATCAGCAAGGGAAATGAATTTGTCTGGGGTTGAATCTCAACCGATAGCAGCGTTTGTAATGCAGTTTTTCATTTCCTCTTCAGTTTGAAGTTGCCATGCACGATGCCTGCACCAATTCTGGGTTATTTACCTTTCATAACTGCATGAATGTGAAGGAGTTAATTCAGGACAACAGACAGGAGCTGACAACAGAGAAGCTCCAACAATTAGGGAAGATGGATTAAGATGGAGAGGATAAACTGCTACAAAAATTCAGTAGCAGTTTACTCATTGGGAAGATGTGAAAAGAATCTTAAAGTACTCAGACAATGAAAAAACTGCACTCGCTTCCTGTGGTTTTGAAATGTTTATCTCATTTTTTAAGAGCCTTGGAAGAAAGCAACACAAAACTCTTGATAGTTTTTCTTCCAAAAAGCAGTGGTTGGAAGAAGCTTCTCCTTCCAGCTAGTAACCTCCTCTCACACTCTACCCCATCACCAACTCAAGACCAAGACACAATAAAAGTTGCATTTCCGGGATCTTGGGATGAATTACCGTTAAATCTTGTATACTCTGGGATTTAAGTTATGACTGTTTTGAAGTGTGATAGTTCTTCTGGAATGGATGAATATCTTAACTCAAGGGACCACTGTATATAAAAATAAGTAGAAATAACCAATCATGAACATAACTGGCAAGCAAACTTTAAAACTATCCACCAAACATGGAAAAAAATATGCATATTTCCTAATTCTTAAACAAAATAAGAGATTTGGGTTTAAAAGAGCCAATTTTTAGATCTTCATCCATTTTATTCCCACATCAATATAAGGCAGCCACTAAGCAGTTTATGTAAGCTAATGCACAAAAAATAAAACCTTAAATTGTAAACAAAAATTGACAATAAATACTGATGTTTTACCATCACTACAAACTAGCCTATACTTTAGATCTGAAGTTAAGAAAACTTATTCAATTTTATTTGACCAGGATATGAAAAAATCATAATCTTTCACTTAACTTTTATAAATTTGATTAATAGCTATGACAAATTCTTATTTTCCTAATTGTTAAATGTACCACTGATTATAATAATTCTTTAAGTGCAAATGAGAGAAGGATTTAGCAAAATCCATTCATCCAATTGTCTTTAATTATGCCAAGCATGTTGGCTTCAACAAATTTTGTTTTAATGCTTACGATTGATTCTTTTTCATATTCCGCAGCAGAAATGAATTCCATAAATAGTTGAAATACATAAACAGCCATTTGTTGCCAAATTTCTCCGCCATATGAACCTGAAAAAAATCATAATCAAAAATTAAATCTGGAAAATACCTGCTTTCCAATAAATGTATAAAAAAATTACTAAGAAAAACTGACAAATATGTGTCTGGCATAATATTACTTTAAGAATCATGTTAAAATTAAACTTACCTGAATGCCATGAGCCCAGTATCCACTAGTACGGCGAGCGTAACCTAGCGTGTGTACAGCATTGGAGACGAAGGTTGATGCCGTTGGGACGAGCACATCTAGAAGCAAGAAAGGGTAAACTAAAATGGCCAATATTCTGATTAACAAATATCATGAACATACGAAAGGCTAAACGATACACTATAAATATTTCTAAAAAGATCTGAAATATTTAAAAAGGCAAATGACACCTAAAGACTCATCCACATACTCTTTACCTTACTCATATTTCTATACTCACTGGGTCTTTGAAGGATATCGAGAACTTCACCATGTTGGTCGAGACATATGAAGGTAGGATGGTCTGAACAGTGATGCCCGGAGTCACGATACTCCATTCCAAAGAATGTGAAAAGTAATCTACAAAGGGCCTGAAAAAATCAACTCTTTAAAAATGCTTTGTAAGTCCATTTGTCTTATAATACATTTTTGTAACAATGTGTAAGCTATTTCAATTTAAGATAGTACACATGATTCCTAATATAGCTGCCATGGTTCAATATTTCATATACAGTTGACCACCAATTAACAGGGGTAGCTTAACTTTCTTAACCTTTTCAGAGTCCAGAGGCCAAATCTCAGAGTGACAGCCAGGGTCCAAGAATTTTCATTTTTTTTTTCTTATGAAATGGTTAGAGAATCTTTTTCTGAAGGTAATAAAACAAAAAGTACAAAATTTGATGGAAAACTGATGAAATTACTCTCTCACGTATTTTGATGCATCAGCGATATTTACGCATAAGCGATTTTGCTGACTGACTCCCATTTTAGGCCAATTACATTATTCCAGTCGACCAAATTCTTAGCTATTTTGCTAACATTACTTCTGTTTTATCGACTGAGCTCAAGAAATCACCCAGTCAAGTGGTTCAACTACTCAATAAAGTGATCAGAAATTGGTAATTTGGCTAATTTAGTACAAAGTTTAACCCCTTCAGGGTCCAAGGCCCAAATCTGAAGTGGTGCCCCAGTGTCCAAGAATTTAAAAAAAAAAAAAATTATTTTTTCTTATGAAATGGTAGAGAATCTTTTTGCGAAGGTAATAAAACAAAAAGTATGAAATTTGATGGAAAATTGACGAAATTATGCTCTCGCGAATTTTGATGTGTCAGCGATATTTATGAATCGGCGATTTTGCCGACTTTGACTCCCATTTTAGGCCAATTACATTATTCCAGTCAACCAAATTCTTAGCTATTTCGCTAGTATTACTTCTATTCTATCGATTGAGCACAAGAAATCGCCAAGTCAACTGTTTCAACTACAAATTAAAGTGATCGGAAATTGTTAATTTGGCAATTTCACACAAAGTAAAAATATTCCAATTTCAAAATAGGGTCCAGAATTAAACAATGTAGGTATTCTGGAACTAAACTAACATTTCCTCTGTTCATTAGTTATGTTTTGAGGCTTTACAAATAAATTACATTTTGATTTTTTTATTCACATAATGAATTTTTATTCACACCAAAAAATAGAAGATTTACTGTTATGCAATACTGTAATAATTGTATAATTATAAATCACCTATTTGTGAATGCATATTAGACCCACCAGCTGGTGTGTATTAGAAGTGTGAGGTCGTTTGTGTACTCTTGAATATCAGCAAAAATTTAACATTTCTGCTACTTTGAGCTCAGTTTCAAGCCATTTCCAGTGCTAAAACCAATTTCTGTAATATGTCTTCCATTCTATCAAATGAGACCAAGAAATCGCAAATAGAACTATAAAAAAACATACGAAAAAACACAGCAAAGTCGCTGTTTTAATTGAAAAAACATGATTTCAGTTTTTTTCTCTCATTATACACAGCGTGCTGCAGGATCTGTTTTATGGGGTGCACACATACCACATAGATGTATTCTCTCATATCTAGGCCCAAATGTACCACTCACAGTTTATCAGAGTGAGCTGAGCTCATGACGTAGATCTACGGTTTGGACCCTGAATGTAAAGCCGTAGATCTACGGGACGGACCCTCAAAGGGTTAAAATGGAGTGGTACGTACCTCGGGATACGAACAGCTCAAAACTCAAACAATTATGCATTTTTTTTTTTTAACAAGTCGGCCGTCTCCCACCGAGGCAGGGTGACCCAAAAAGAAAGAAAATCCCCAAAAAGAAAATACTTTCATCATCATTCAACTCTTTCACCTCACTCACACATAATCACTGTTTTTGCAAAGGTGCTCAGAACACAACAGCTTAGAAGCATATACAGTGGTCCCTCACTTTTCGTAGTTCTCGGCAATTGTAAATTTCGCTAATCATAGGGGTATTTTCGTATAAACATGGACTCGCTTTTCATAGGTTGACTCGCGAATAGTAGTTCGTCCGGGACGCGTATGCACGGTTTGAGCCGGGGAGGCCTCCCTACCCAGCCAGTCTGGCATTGTTTACAAGTGAGTGAAGGTCCCCTCAAGTGCTCCTACAAAATATTTCATAATATTCCACTCATTTTAGTGCTTGCAAGCACTAAATAAGCTACCATGGCTCCAAAGAAAGCTCCTAGTGCCAAGCCTGTGGTAAAGAAGGTGAGAAATATGTACAGTGACAAAGTCTTGGGCCATTTTAGGGAAGTGTTAAAGAGACGCCAGAAACAGAGCTCTCTCCACAGTTACTTTGCGAGACAGGACTAGAGTGACTCTCAAGGTGGTTCTAGTGGCATTAAGAAACAGAGAAGAGAAGCAACCCCAAAGAAGCAATTGGTACCTGAGATGTTGCTGGAAGGGGATTCCCCTTCCAAACTGTAAACAATCCAATCTCTCTCCTCCTCCAGTCTCCCATACACTAAGATGAATCTCCAATAAAGGTAAGTGTTATGCTGTTAATGTTTCACTCATCATTTCCCATTGTATTGTTTATGTACTACAGTGGACCCTTGACCAACGATGGCATCGTCTAACATTAAATCCAACTAGCAATACATTTTATTGCAAAAATTTTGTCTCGACTAGCACTAAAAAACTCGACCAACGCAATTCGTTCCATTCGAGACATGTCCACTTGTGGCCTGAGAGCACCAGTGTTTACAAGCCATCCAGGCACCGCGGATGGGTGTCAGGAACGGATTAATTGTATTTACATTATTTCTTATGGGGAAAATTGATTTGCAAATCGTAAATTTCATTTATAGTAACGGCTCCAGGAACGGATTAATTACGAAAAACGAGGGACCACTGTACGTATAAAGATACACAACATATCCCTCCAAACTGCAAATATCCCGAACCCCTGCTTTAGAGTGCAGGTACTGTACTTCCCATTTCCAGGACTCAAGTCCGGCTATATAAAAATAACCAGTTTCCCTGAATAACTTCACTAAATATTACCCTGCTCACACTCCAACAGATCGTCAGGTGCCAAATACCATTCATCTCCATTCACTCCTATCGAACACGCTCATGCACGCCTGCTGGAAGTCCAAGCCCCTCGCCCACAAAACCTCCCTTACCCCTTCCTTCCAACCTTTTTGAGGACGACCCTTACCCCGCCTTCCTTCCCCTACAGATTTAGATGCTCTCTGTCATTCTACTTTGATCCATTCTCTTTAAATGACCAAACCACCTCAACAACCCCTCTTCAGCCCTCTGACTAATACTTTTATTAACTCCACACCTTCTCCTAATTTCCACACTCCGAATTTTCTGCAAAATATTTACACCACACATTGCCCTTAGACAGGACATCTCCACTGCCTCCAACCGCCTCCTCGCTGCTGCATTCACAACCCAAGCTTCACACCCATATAAGTGTGTTGGTACTACTATACTTTCATACATTCTCTTCTTTGCCTCCAGAGATAATGTTTTTTGTCTCCACATATACCTCAACACACCACTCACCTTTTCTCCCTCGTCAATTCTATAATTAACCTCATCCTTCATAAATCCATCCGCCGACACGTCAACTCCCAAGTATCTGAAAACATTCACTTCTTCCATACTTCTCCCCAATTTGATATCCAATTTTTCTTTATCTAAATCATTTGACACCCTCATCACCTTACTCTTTTTCTATGTTCATTTCAACTTTCTACCTTTACACACACTCACAAACTCGTCCACTAACCTTTGCAATTTTTCTTTAGAATCTCCCATAAGCACAATATCATCAGAAAAGCAAACTGTGTCAATTCCCATTTTGCATTTAATTCCCATAATTTAATCCCACCCCTCTCCTGAACACCCTAGCATTTACTTCTTTTACAACCCCATCTATAAATATATTAAACAACCATGGTGACATTACACATCCTGTCTAAGAGCCTACTTTTACCGGGAAATAGTCTCCCTCTCTTCTACACACCCTAACCTGAGCCTCACTATCCTCATAGAAACTCTTTACAGCATTTAGTAACTTACCACCTATTCCATATACTCGCAACATCTGCCACATTGCTCCCTATCCACTATTCATATGCCTTTTCTAAATCCATAAATGCAATAAAACTTTCTTACCTTTATCTAAATACTGTTCACACATATGCTTCAATGTAAACGCTTGATCTACACATCCCCTACCCACTCTAAAACCTCCTTGCTCATCCGCAATCCTACATTCGTCTTACCTCTAATTCTTTCAATTATAATCCTACCGTACACTTTTCCTGTATACTCAGTAAACTTATTCCCTCTAAATTTTTTACAATTTTTGTCCCCTTTCCTTTTATAAAAAGGGACTATACCTGTTTCTGTCAATCCCTAGGTACCTTCCCCTCTTTCATTTTATTTTTTAAAACAAAAATCCCAACACCCCCAACACTTATCCCCCCTGCTTTTAACTTTCTGCTGATCTGTCATTTCCCGCGTTTTCCCCCTTTCATTCTATGTAACCCTCATGCTCCCCCCCCACACTCCATCTGTTGTTCTTCATCCTAAAAGATGGTATCCCTCCCTGGCCGTGCATGAAATTTACCGCCCCCCTTTTTTCTAGCCATTTAAAAGTTCCTCAAAATATTTCGCCTCTACCCAAAACCTCCATCTCCCCATCTACAAACTCCCCTACTTGTTATTAACTGAAAAAACCCCATTTTTCCTGGCTTTTTTAAACCTTTTAAATCACTCCAAAATATTTTTTATTTTCATTAAAATTTCTTGACAGGCCTCCCCACTCTTTATCTGCTCTCCTTTTCACTCTTTTGTAAATGTTTTTTTTGGGGGTCTGAAATGAAATTTAAAATAATTTACATTATTCCTTATGGGAAAAAATTTTTGGTATTTGGGACTCGAACAGCCTTCTGTAAGAATTTAAATTTTTCATCCCGAGGTACCACTGTATTCCAATTTCAAAAAAAAAAGGGTCCAGAAAAACAATACTGGGTTTTTGGCACTAACTAA